ACAATGAATCATCCAGTTACCTGAAATAAAATTTCTCTGGGTTCGAACATTGTTGGAAACATTTAGGATAGTCTCAGTAAACTAGCCAACAAAATATATAACATAGGTCGAGGCTTTTAATGAAAAGTTCGTACATGTTATATATTCAACACGTACTGATGTGGTGGTGGTTTGAACAGGACACTTACACTTTTTCATAGCTGAAAACAATCCAATCTGCCCAAGACATATTAAGTGTGAATGGAGGTTTATTTCCTGTGACTATGTGGCTGAAATGTGAACTACAGGGGGACTTCAGTGAATCCTTAAAGTCTGAAATGTAGTGTATAGTGTGAAGGTGGCAGGAGTATTGCATGACTGTATTAAACTTTTTTATAAAGGAGGATTTTGAAGAGCACACCAGACACTTCTCCCTCTTTTTCCAATTTACTTTTATGGCTTTTGCTGAAATTGTGGAGGCCATTAACGCCAGGGGATCTTTGAGGGAACTCCCAGAGGGACGCCTTCCGCGCACAGCTCCCGCATTGTAATTTCTCCCTTTTTTTCTCTTTTGACAGGAGGACCATCTTATCCTCTGATCATTTTTCAACATATTCCCCATTTCCCCCCCTAATCTGATCTTGTTCTTATCAATGTTCAACAGCTCAGAAAGGGAGGAAAACTAAGTCTTTGGGTTTTCAAGGACGCCCGCAGGCTCTGCTTGAACATGTGGAAGCTTTCCCCCTGCAGGTTGTAATCTCAGCACAAATCCAACTATCAGCAGTGGAAACCTTTTTAAACACATTTTTGTCAGATCTTTGCTTTTTCCCTCTCTGGGCTTTACATTCTGCTGCTGCCTTTCTCTCTAACTCTGCAATACTATCCCTCCCTGCAAACCGCCTTCCCTTTCTAGTATAGAAGGCGCAACAGCACCGGGGGGATTCATCTTTTTGAAGTGTGTGATTAATTTCCTCTCTTTCTAGGAGTGCTGAACTGCACTGTGTGTATGTGTCTGTGTGTATATGTGTGTGAGTGTAGCCACTGTGTCCCCATTCTTACCTGAGCTCATTAGCGCAATGTGAAAAAGTTTTTTTTTTCTCTTCTACTGTCTTTTCCTCCTCTCCACCCTCTCTTCAGTCCTTTCACACTCACATTCTCTCTCATCAGCACCACTCGTTTCCCTCTCTTTTCATCCACTCTATTTCATCCTATCCCCTTCTTGCCCAATCCTACTCCATTCTCATTTTCTCTGTCTTCCTCACACTCCTGTGCACACACACAAACACACACACAGTACTTTGTAAGAGTAGTTTAGAGAGGCCAATACGATCCGCCAACACCAACCACTGTCAAGTTGTAACATTTCCGATTGAGCTAGATTGTAAATGTTGTGCAATTCCTGCATAACAATGACAATGTGTCTATGTGTTTGCTTTCAATAGAAACCCTGTTTCCTCTAAAGCCCAAAATCACAATTTGCACATCTCTTTAAAAGTCTATACACAGGTGTGCATGAACAAATTTCAGTAATGGATTATGGATACTTCCTACAAGAAAACTGACGAGCTGTAGAGAAATCGATCAGGTTCCTGTTTTTCAAGTATCAAACACAAACCAACACCAGATTAATTAACAAACAATTGGTGTCACTGTGAGATTCTGAAAGTGACAATGATAAAGAAGAAATCCCTGTTATCTTCAGGTTTATTGCTTAATAAACCATAATGAGAGGACCTGTTCAGCCAAAGTGCCTTTAAATAAGTCTTTAAATAATACCAATTAATCTTCGTTTAATGTGTTTGATGTAAAACACTTAGCAGTGCTGGGTTTTAAATAATCACTATATAAAATACACTAACATAAAATAAACTTTATTATAATTCCTCGTATCATTAAAATGCCTTTAGACAAGATGAGATGATTTTACCACATTAATTAGATTAAATACATTAATTTCTTTTCATCTCATGCTATAATCAGTTAGTGATCGTTGTGATTCATTACTTTGGATAATAACAACATGACTGCAAAACTAATGAGCTTCTGCGTTACTTTATGTTTAGAGTAAAACAATTAGCGAAAGCTAGCATGCAATCATGCATTATAAAGATGGCAATGAGGAGAATATCTGAAATGGAACCATGCTAACATTACCATTGTGAGCATGGTGACATTAGCATCTAAACTTGTGTTAGAGGTAGCACCAATGCTAGCTATTTCACAATGAAGCAACTTCCTGATGACACTTTCCCTTACACCACAATAATGAGTTAAAACATTTTAGGTGTGAAGACTTGTTATACATGTTTTTTCATATTGTTTCTTGATGTGAAATTATTGTGGATGATTTGAAATCACTGTGTTGAACTTTTACTTCATCATGTCTGAGTTATTTGCTGTTGAGTTATTCTGGAAGTAGTTCACTTCTGGTGGACTTGCAGCATCATGTAGCACCTCTGTCTGTATATGAGACCACAGGGACAAGACCTGTCTCCCTGTCCGCCTCGCTGGTAACACACTAACATTCTCAAAGCATGACGAGAGCAGCCTCTGACATGACAGACAGGCCGATAGACAGGAAGGGCGGACTGGCCGACTGGCAGATCGAGTATGGAACATGACAGATGAAGTGCCGTGAGAGACAGACAGGCGGACAGAGGTTAGTGGTTTTTGTTTAAGTTGGGTTAGAGGAGAGACGTGTTCTCCACATGGAAACAAGCCCACAGAGACGTGTGGGGAGGAAGCATAGTGCTGCTGATGGAAGGAATAGACTCAGTGTGTCTGCAGGTTTATACAAATCAGATTTGACTTTTGTGAAGCTTTTATTTGATGGCTAACAATAGAGAGACAAAGAAAACAAAAAGGTAAACACTGGCAATATGAACTCTTTTAAAACACATCCTATAAGACCCAAAATATGAAGTCATCATTATGATATGATCCAGCATTGGTATTATATAAAAATATATTATATGTTCTATAAGTGTTTATGAATAAATAAACGTGGGGATTTTTTAAAATAAATTTTAGTTTAAAATGTTTTTTAATTTCTCCCCTTTCCCATCCTACTGTGGCCAAATATAACTTATCTGAATACAAACTGGTCTGTGGGAAAAGACAGGGAAATGTAAGCATGGAAGGAAACTATAAATGTTGTTGATTTCTGGTTTCATTATGAAAGGTTTGGTCAATTAAAAAGTAGCCATTATGACAACATAATTAATTTACTGTTGAGCCAGGGCCAGCAGTGATCAAGAAACCTCAGGTGGGTTTTTTGGGTGACAACAAAAGAAGACATTGTTGACTCAGTCTGGAAGAAACGTAAATCTGCGTCGATACGGCAACATTTGTGATAGGAGGCCGAAAAGTGGCATGGTTGTTGTGAGAAATAAAAACATGATGCTTCACTTCACTTCTTCTGCAGATTGTGTAATGGCTCCATTTTCAGCTTCTCCTTATTTAGTGTTTATTGGCGGCTGGAAAACCAGCATAGAGGTGCATTACTGCCACCCAGTGGACTGGAGTGACTGCATGCTCAGTCTCATCATATTCCACTCCACACACCAGGTAAGACATTTTCAAAATGGGCCTAACCCTATCCAAAACTTAAAGAAGGGGAGGGACAGAAACAGATTAGAAAACAGGTGAAAGAATAGGATAAAGAGAAATGGACAGTGGAGAAATAAGGGAGAAAGATAAAAGAGGTAGATTAAAGAGGTAGATACAAGGTGAGAGAAAGGCAGAATAATTATTGCAGACAACCTTGTCCTTCACTCTCTGCTGCTCACACACACACAGACACACACACACACACACACACACACACCAACTATCCTGTCTAATCTAATTCCTGTGGCAGTGTGAATAGATATGGCCGTTCAGTGCCAGCAGCACAGCTCCCTGTTCCTGATGGCAGCAATCTGCTGAGTCAGGAGATCTGCACTGTGTGTGTGTGTATGTGTGTGTGTGTATTGGTGAGAGACAGGGGGAGTTTGAGAGAAAGTAAGATTTAGTTGAGTGCATAGATGTGTGTGCAGCCTTCCTCTGCAATGATGAGCAGTGCAAATTGAGTACCCTAGACACACACATGCACGTGCACACACACATACAGTTACAGGGGCAGGCTGACAAGAGAGTTCACTATCATTACTAGGTCAGCGAGACATCACTGGTATTACCATGACAACAGGCTATGACTGTCATTAGCATGACAGCTGCAGGTCACGACTACAAAAACATGGTTCCTGAACATTCTACTGGATAAATACAGGTCACTATCATTTTTGCCATCATCACCGTGACAACAACAGCTTAGGAATCTGGCAGCCAATGGGATGACGTCGGTTAAAATGTATTAAAAATGTTATATAAAATGTGTATGTATGAAGGAAAAATAGGAAAAAATAGGAAATACAACAATACAACAACCTTGATTCAAATGTTTCTCGATGACTATGTTCACGTAACACATGTCCTATGAAGCATCAATGAGAAAATTGTCTTATGAAAAACTAACTGCCCATATCATGCTTTTCATATTTCCTTACACATAAGTCATGTAGTTGTTTTGTGCATGTAAAAGGTATGCTAAGCTAAAAAAGCCAAGCACCACCTTGACCTGCCGTACAAACCTCATTTTGTGCAGAACACAGCAGCATCAACTCAACCAGCTAAATCCATCCCTCCTGATCTCCATCACAGAGTAGCAGCATGAAATGCATCAGGGTTATTCATCTGTGTAGAGTGGACAGGAAATCGAGCTCCGCTGCTCTGTGCTCTTTGCTGTGCAGGTGTCAAGTGTGGTCTACTGTGCAAAAATGATGACAGGCCCTTTCCAAAACTGTCCACCCACCACACTTAGCCAACAAGGGTTTGGATTTAAACGTTACGCAGTTGAGGTTTTTTCCAAACTGTGTGTGTGTGTTGGTGGTCCTGGCTGCAGTGGTGGAGAGGCTGAAAGGTAACTGTTCAGGTGTCAGGAAAGAAAAAAAAGCCAAAGACACACATGTTTTCGGTCTTACCTCCAGCCATGTCCTCTTCCAGTAGCTGTATCTGCAGGTGGAAGATTTTCTCTTGGAGGTCGCACAGGGTGTGTTTCATTTTCTCCCTCCGTGTCACCATGTAACACAGGTTACGCACCTGGAACACAAGACATCTCTGTTACACACAACAGGACAGAGGCCCGACACGTTACAAACAGTATTCTCTCATTTCATCAAGATGACAAACATGGACAAACAGAAACCTGACAGTGAGGAAAACTCACACCTAAGCATTATGACCGACTGACACAAATATACAGACATCAGACATACAGATACAGACACACCAATCTTTGCAGCTCAACAGAGCTTTTTATCTTCTTTTATTTTATTGTTGTAGTTTTACAGCAAATGAAACTTGCCAACACGTTAATCTTGCTTTTAACACAATAGAACGTGAACGTTTGATGTGGATAATATATAAAGAATTACTGTTCAGTCATCACACACACTGTAAACAGTCTGTAAGAGCAACGCTTCAGTTTGTAGTCTGATGGCGTCGCCTTGTTCTAAACATGGTGTTGAAACACACAAGACCTCTCTATTTTTAAACACAGTGTAGCAGTGTTTCTGCTCCCTGATTGTCGGCGCAGTGAAAGGTGAACATCGGGTGAACACTAAGTTTTGAGCTGGGGACTGAACAGAAGCAGGAAAATGAATACTTAGATCTGTCCGTCATACCAGCTACAGTACCACTGAATAAGAGACAAAGCAAATACTTGGAGGATGGAAATAAAGTGACTTAAGCTACACTGATTGGTTGAGGCTTAGTGGTTGATTGTTTGATAGATTCAGTCATAACACATTTTAAAATGTGAAAACTTATTTAACAGATTCTCCATATGAATAGACAGATAGATAGATAGATAGATAGATAGACAGATAGATAGATAGATAGATATACTTTATTCATCCCTGAGGGGAAATTCTTGTGTTCCAGCAGTAGAGACATGTGTATATACAGAATCAGTGAGAGAGGGACAGGATTTTGTGACTGGAGGCATTCAAGTTTTCAAGTTTGACGAATCACGTTACAGCAGGTTTTGGCTGCAGCTCAACTGTCCTGTGCCAAAAGAGGTGGAACGCATTGATTGAAAATGCATTGGATATCAACTTTTAAATTATATGCATATATGTTCATATATCTGTTCTGGACGTAAAACACGAATACATCGTCAGATGATAGCAGAAGAACACAGAGACTGAAACTATATAGACACATTATATAATGACTGAAAAGGCTCAGAAAGATGCAAATGCTTATGTGCGCCTGTATATAGTCTTATCAAATTAAGCTACACTCCAGTAGTGAACAATGAAAAAAAATCCTTCACACTTGTAGCTCTGTAGCTCATCAATCCTGTTTCCAGCACCAGGTTGTTGGGTTTTTTTCAACACACATGCTCTTAGTGAGTAGAGGTTGAATAAAGTTGATCATCTAACAGCTTTAACGCAAACACATTTCGTCAGGCGTCAGAGAAGATTCAACAGATGGCAACTAAAATGACAAATAATGATATTGTTCTGCATTTGCTGGATGTTTAAATAGGCAAGCGTCTGCTAATGCAGCAGGGAACAGATGATAAAAGACCATAAGGATATGTATGATAGGTTTTCCATGCTTCAGAGCTCTAGCCAAATAAGAACTTTAACCGTCTGCATACTTGACATCAGTCTGTCAGTATCACATTATGAGTGACCAAAGCTGGATGCAAATGTTGGAAAATGTGATCCTTAAACACTTGAGCATAGCAATGTATAGCATCAGGTTTATGTGCATCCTGTAATAAGCGAATCAGAGGTAAGATTCAAGCGGCGTCACGCTGTTTCCTGCCAATAAACTGCAGAGTCTTCTTCCACTCAGACATAAACTCCAGCTGAGCCCCGCTGCCTCTCAATGCAACCAAATGACTATCATATGGCCCTCTAAGTACTATATGTGAGAGGATGGAGGGTATAGAGCCGCGAGATGCATGTGAGTGTGCACGTATGAAGACAAGCTGTGGTTTGTGAATGTGAGTTTTGAATTGGATAAATAAGAGACAATGAGAGAAGAAAGCAAGAAGCTGAATATAAGAATTTAACATAGAGACAGAAATAAAATAGAGAGAGAAAGACAGTGCCAGAAGAGCAGGTAAACAAGATTCAAAGATAAGACACGTGGATTCCCCATCTGCAGTTGTTGCTGTTAAACGCAACAAAATTATTTTATCCACAAATAAAGCGATTGCAGACGGTGGATACCTATGTTGGCTGAGAATATGACAAAAAATTAGGAACTTTAATTTGCAAAATTGAACAAAAAATATTACAAGAGGTAGACGGTATGCTCTTTCTCAAATGTGTGCAGTTCCGATAAGAGAAAGACAGCTTCGTAGGGCACAAGTGTTCATAGGTGATCCAAACGGCCAAAGTAGCTGGTAGGACAGGCTGACTGTCATACAGAGGGTTGAGATATGATAATCGTTGATTATGATTCCAAGAAGGCTTTTGTAGAATGTGTCCCCATGCAGAAGCTGTATCCTCTTGAGGACTCGGTTGATGAAGGCATAGATGAAGACGAAGCCTTTGTAGACTGAGTAGACTGCAGCAGTCGAACACAGGAAATTAACTGGTCTACTGAGGATTTTCTGTTTGCATTGATTGCTACTTACAGCTTAGCTGCCCGGACAGCTAGGTCATTTGACACCAAGAGGACTAGCAAGGTGAATTCTGGGATAGGTTGGTCAGAGAGGGAACCACCTGTGGGATCCTGCGACTATGATCTACCAATTGGGTCCTTCATTGGTGAGGAATGGAAGGACACATTTGTTGGCCACATTTAAAGGAGCCTATACAGTGGGGCAGCCTCCTCCCTTCGCTGTGATGCAATCAGGCTTCAAATGCAGCCTCTGAAGGATGCGGCCCCTTAATTTGAACACAGCTATAGCTACTAAAAATGCTAGAAGACGTCAGTAAACTATAACAATTATTAGGACATACTGTTTTTTAGCTTTAGTCATTTACATTGGGCTATTAGAGAATAATCTGATTTAGCACCGCATGCTAATAAAGCTTATTTAAACTGAGAGTTATAGATGGAGTGAACCAAAGACGGCGCTTGTAAATGTTTTACAGCACCATGTACTCCAGGGGAAAAGGTTTATGGCTCTTTGGGTGCTGTTGTATGTTCAAAGTAAACAGTTACGAGCTGTTACAGATGATGATATTAATGTCCGAGACAAATATTTATCCTCACAGTTTTGTTTCAATGTAGAGTACCGACTGTAGTTTGAGTGTTGTGAGGATTTCCAGTCTTCCATTTTTTATACCGCAAAACAAATCCAACACAGAGTCTTGACAACAAAGTGACTGGAGAGAGAAAGAGAGAGAGAGAGAAAGAGAGAGAGATGAGAAAGAGAGGTATGAAGGTGGGGAGGGAATGTAATTGGGTCCCAGCCAGAGCTCTTGAATCCCAAACTAACAAGCCAGAAACAGGATCTGTACCGACTGGATTTTTTCTCCCAACAGTAAATCAGTAATCATGTGTTTCTAACCACATCCAGCATGTGTGTAACAGCATCGTATTTGTGAGACATGGTGCTAATGTGACACTACAGACTACACGTGTGTGTTTGTGCATACACGTTGGTCTTTTTATAGTTGTGAGCACATTCGCAGACAAAATGCCCCTCACACTAATAAACACAAATAAATACCAATCTCTAATCTTTAAACCAGCACTCAACAATCAAACAGCCAGTGTCCACACAAATGACATGTACACATGTTAAGGTGTATGTCTGGATGTGTTTGTGTTTGTTTGTGTGTCCTGGCAGTCCTACAAGCTGTTTATCCGTTGGTCTTGATGGATTTGTCAGCCTGGCCTATCTGACCCATTCCGTCCCTGTTAGAGGGCCGCAGATAAAAATAGCTGCTCAACTGGGACACAATGTGCAGAGCCTGGCTTTGATTAGGACACTGTGTGTGTGTGTGTGTGTGTGTGTGTGTGTGTGCTCGTGCGCGCATGTGCATCGTTTTCAAAAACAACTACCTGGACACGACAGGGGACTAGAGAGTAGGGTGGGAGGTAAAGATGAAGGAAGAGCGAGTAAAATAAGGAGTGGAAATAACAGCTCAGTTGAACTTTACCTCTCTTTCTGTCTCTCTCTCCAAATTCTAGATATCCCCAGAGCAGCAGTGCAACTTTTTTTCCTTTCTTATTTCAACAAAGTGAAAATAAACCAAATCAAATGCATTTTTAGAAGTAAAAGGTCTCGTTGAAACGAGAAGATGAAACACAAATGTCACAAACGTCTGTTTGCTGGTGGAAATTTACTTTCGTGTAGTAAAGTATGTGCACATGATGCAATGCCTCCTATGTGCTTATGCTATATGCTTTAAATTTACCTAATTGCAACTGATGCTGTGACTAATTTATCATAAACACCTTATGGGTCATGTAGGGATGAAGTAAATCAGAGGGCTTATAATACATTTTGTTATTTGCATAGTTTTTTTATTTATTTAAATACTATTTATTGAATTGCATTTGTCATCTTGCATTCCACTCTCTTATCTGGTCGTACAAGCTCAAATTCATCCTGTAATAATTCCATAGACAATTTAAACTATACAGTTAATTCTGCATGTGGATTAAGTGCTAGCTGAGTTGTGATGAAGTGACCTGAAGTGAATTTATTTTTCCTTTGGCTCAAACATCCTCTGACCTTTTCTCACCATCTCCTCTGCCTGTTTCTGCTTCCTGCCCTTTACCAACTCTCTCCTTCGTCATTCTTTCCTCAATTTAATTCCCCATCCCCCCCTAATCTCGTCCACACATCTGTCTGTCCAGCTTCTCATTCTTCTTTAACTCCATTTGTCTTTTCCCCCCGTCTCTGTCTGAGTGAATTTATTCATCCTGAGCAGCTATCCATCTCTGAATCAGCAAGCACAGCACCCCTACACTTTTATCCCTCTCATCTAGGCATGTTAACCCACAGACACAAATCTGAGAGCACATGTTGGGTTACATTCATTTGACTGCATTTGGCACCAAATAAGGATCTGATGTACAAGTCAGCAAACTCATCAAGTCCCACTAAGTTTTTGAGAAAG